TTAGGAGTCATTAGTAAATAACTAATACATGATTTGTGAAAACTCCAACAATTTTTCCTTGGTACAAATTTAAATAAAATGTGTGACGTGCCAGACCAAAGTTCAACTTCAAACTTTTTATTTATTCATGCCATGAAACCATAATGAGTTATGTGCCCATCCTTGGAGAACCCTTGCTGTACGGCTAGTGTAGGCAGTGTTAAACAAGGAATTGAAACCGAGGGGTTCCGTTCAGGCCCTTCACACTTTGTTTCTGTCTAGTTCTAATGTACCGTCACAATAGTGACTTTAATATATGTACCAAGAATACCAGACCTAAAATAAATCGGCACTGGATCCGGATCAGATTGTTGCTTGACCGCTGACCAGTACCCCACTTTTTAATTATGATTGATTTCGCTGCTTCGACCAATGTTGGTCTGTAATCCCTGGATTGAGATTTGTTGGCCGCAATTTAATTTAGCTAATTTCTTATAATACCGCAGTGGTCTGGTTCCCACTTCAGAATGACCCCATATTCTTTTTTTCAGTCGCATAGATTTTCCCATCGTTTGATAATGTGTGTCAACTGTCATTCCCTCGTTTTTTAATCAAGTGGTGACTGGCTATTTCTTCTGTTATTACAGCTGTGAGCTGCCTCGAGATCTTATCTGGGGCATGGGCACAAATACTAGAACATTAGAAGATTAGAACTGTAATTCTAGAACTTCAGATTAAGGTTACTTGGCAGAATAGCATTAGCAGGGTTCGAGATTTGACTGAGGGCATTCAGGTAACATACCAGGTTCACATCACCAGTTGAAGTGAATCTTAATTTCGGCATGCAATGCCTTTATGCCTTATAAGTTATAATCTTATAGTAGGATCACGGGGTTTTTATAATAGAAGGTCTCGAGATGCTGATTTAGCTATTTAGGTTTCACATGTGACATTTTTCCAGCTTTGGGTAAAGTGGATTTTAGAGCGGGGAGGGGGTCTAAATGACCAAAATCTGAACGATCTCTTACTTACGGGACACTACGGGACAAGGGACAGATCTCGGGCCTAATAGCTGTTTTTTAATGAGAGGCTGGAGTTTGGACCTAGATGGTCAACGTGAGGATAGCATGAGGATTTAGGATGCTCTGCCTGCCTTTCGTGGGGTCTTGTAACCCCTAAAGCTGGTATATCTTATCTAATTTAACCTTGGTTACATCTCGTGCTGTTTCGAATATATAATTAAATTTATAGGTCCAATATCAAGCAAAAAAGTCTGATGTCATGTACTGATGTTACACTAACATGATCTCCGACGCGAGGATCTCCGAAGTCCGATCTTAAAGTTGGATCTCAGAGCCAAAAAGAGGAACGTAAGCCTTGGTTCCTTTCTTTGAGAGTCAAACAGGAAATTCGGGGTTATCAACTCAAACTCGGATTCGTAGCACAATTAAAAAAACAAAGAATAAAAATCTTAATGAATTTCCCGACATTCTAAAATTAATATCAGTTCGTATTCATATATATATATATAGCCTGACTGACAATTTTCTCGACTGACTGACAATGTTTCTTCTTTTCCCCATTTAGAATACAAAGATTAGTACATTTTAGCTTATGATTAATATTATATTTTTACCTATAGTTTACCTAGATCAATTCAGTGGCCCAAACTCCAGTAGGTTACAAGACTTAAGTTCAATTCGAGGAACACTTTGATTAAGCATGATCCTTGTCTAGTTGGAGTTTTCGCATATCATGCAGTAGTTATCTACTAATCACTTCTAAACTGAGCGTTATAGAGTCGAATCTCAAACCCTGCCATTCGGCCAAGTAATCTTAATCTGAAGTTCTAGAATTACAGTTCTAATGTTCTAGTACTAATGTATTAGTGCCCTAGATAAGATCTCGAGGCAGCTGTAATAAAAAAGAGCTAGCCAGTAACCACTTGATTAAAAAACGAGGGAATGACACACATTATCATACGATGGGAAAATCTATGCGAACCAAACCACTGCGGTATTACTATTATGGTAAATGAGCTAAATTAAACTGCAGCCAACAGATCTCAATCCAGGGATTACAGACCAATATTGGTCGAGGCAGTGAAGTCAATTATGATTATAAAGTGGGGTACTTATACTGGTCAGTGGTCAAGCGTCAATCTTGCCCGGATCCAGTGCCGATTTATTTTAGGTCCGGTATTCATGGAACATATATCATGGTTTCATGGCATGAATAAATAAAAAGTTTGAAGTTGAATTTTGGTCTGGCACGTCACACATTTTATTTAAATTGGTACCAAGGAAAAATTGTTGGAGTTTTCACAAATCATGTATTAGTTATTTACTAATGACTCCTAAAGTGAGCGTTTTTGAGTATATGATGTGCATAAGTCGGCAATTGCGAACAATTTGCTGTTTGCAACTGACCCATTGACCTTTACTAAAGAAACCGTAATTTTGAAAAATTGACATTTCGTAAGACACAAATATGCTGCTGGCCTGGCCCATTAAAAGAGATGCCCAATAAAGTAGATCATTCTCCAATTTTTGTAGGTGTTTCTGGACACAAAGTGAGTCATCTTACATCTTGTGACAAATGCTGTGTTGCTCATGAGTCTTTAAGACCTTTCTAGTTAACAGTCCAATAGCCCATTTGCATTTGTGAATATTGTCATTGTTTGCTCGACAAAAATCCGTTTTTCAGCCACATTTCCGAAAATAAGCCTTTTAGGGTATATGTTGCTTCATAAGTTGTATATAAATGTGGCTATTAGGCACATTTTGGTGTATCAGAATAGTCTCTACGACCTTCCTAGGCGGAAATGCCAAAAATCACGGAAATTATGAACTGCGTCAAGCCAAAAACCGTTTTTCGGCCATATTTCCGAAACAAAGCATTTTAAGGTATATGTTGCTTCATAAGTTGTATATAAATGTGGCTATTAGGCACATTTTGGTGTATCGGAATAGTCTTTAAGACCTTCCTGGGCTGAAATACAATAATTCGAGTGACCGCGAAACCCTGAAAAAGGGTGTGGCCGAAAACGCCCTCATTGCATGTATTTCAACCTTGCCATGAAGTCCAAATGTTTTAAGAATCATCTAGAGAGGTGATAACCGTCGAGAAATCGCTTTTAACACGAAAAGCTAACGAGATTCCGTTTCGTCTCGGACTACAAGTGCATAATGCTATAGGACCTTAAAATAAGATTGAACCATACAAACTCGATTTATCTATTTTTCTAAAACTAGCATTATATAACATTTCTAAATTATCCCTACACACTTGTAAATAATTAGAATTGTGTAACTTAAATTATTTCAGATTTACAACTATTGTGTACTCAATAAAGTAATTATCACTTTTGTATCCTTGTTGTATCCTTGTATCCTTGTATCCTGACTAAGTTGACGTTAATCGACCAGAATAATATTATTATTATCATACTTCTGCAAAATTTAAGGTTTGCTGACTGGTATAACTGATTTACTTTTTTGTAATAAATGTTTGTACACTAATCTTTGTACAGTTTGTCAACAAAGAGTCCACATACTTTGTAACATCATTGAACATTAACTACTATTTAAATAGTAGTGGTGGGATAGGATTTTTATTTGCTAGTTGTGTGCCATTATGAGTACAGTATCTTAACCATCAGATGTACATTTATCCCTAGATAAACACAAGTATCTTTACCCTTCAGTTTAACACTGAATTTACTTATAGGTATTTAACCTTATAGTTGTACAATTACCATCGCTGAATTTGTTTGTGTATATTGTTCGAACACTGAATAAAAAGAATAATAATAATAATAATAAATGAATGTTATTTTTATACAGCACCGAAAGGTTAAATGATTTAAATTTAACCCTTATGCACAGCTGTAAATGATACCTAAATGACAGTAGAGATCGTGCATCTCGCCTTGGACGGGAGTAAAAATGGAAGTTTATAACTGCAAGTTAAATCCTGACTAAATAAGGCAGATACACCTAACAAGAAGATATCCAAGAAAGGTTAGCAGGTTTTCTAACAAAACATATGAAAAATAGATGATGACTACAAGAGATCTATGTATGAGACTCATCAGACTAACAAAATGATATACAAAGATAATAAAGATGAAATTTCCTAAAATACTAAAATTCTATAAAAATCTATAGAACTACAAATATACAAACAATCTGAATACCTCAATATACAACACAAAATTATTAAAAAAGCTTACTGCAGAACTTAACAGTAACTGATGTTATACAAGGGATACAAGGATACAAAAGTGATAATTACATCATTGAGTACACAATAGTTGTAATTCTGAAATAATTTAAGTTACAACTTGAGTACAAATCCAATTATTTACAAATATGTGGGAATAATTTAGAAGTATCATATCAGAGATTTATTGGAGAGCAAACCGGCTAGGTTAGTGATGTTTTGGGGACATATTTTGGGGACATGTAAGAACAAGGATAAGATTTGCTATGTTAAGAACAACTCTTGTCGCTTTTCATGCGTACAGAGGAAAGAAGATTGACATTCAGGTATCTAACGGAAGAGTAGAGCAAACAGTCTATTGAAACGTGATTTTCGTCCTCAATGGGATTGAGCCCTTAGCTGAAAAAGCAGCAAGTGCACCAAAGTCCTTCTCTTGGTACAATGCAAATGGGGGTGTATCTGCTCCTTTTGATGTAGAGGTTGCGGCAGCTGATACGAAACCTTGTCAAGCTTTTTCGAATCAGAATTATAGAATGCTAGTTTTGGCGAGGAAGCCTTGGCAGATTTCCAGGTATCCACAAATTCTGGGGGAAGTTGTATTTGGTGAGAAGCTTTTAGATGTTGGTGTACGAGGGAAAACCCAGCATAATCTGCTCGTGAAATGTTGTAGAAAGTAGTTTGTTTTTGGTGCTTTCAAGGCGACTTTAATAAATTTGATTGATTTGAGTTTTCAAGGAAATCCTTGAGTTTTTTCAATGACTGGTTCCTTTCAAATGGATAATATTATTGTCTTGCAGAAGCTATGCATTAGATTGTATGAACAAAGGGGTACTTCCGCCAAATTATAATGATGCCATAAAGAACGATGGTAAGTTGCTTCTATACTTTATTTAGTGAACAATAAACCAAGTTTTTAAACAAATGTTTACTTCATTTGCGAGCAAAAATTTGTTTTTAAAATTAAGTTTAAAACATGGTTTAGATTAAACTGTTTCAGTTGCCCCTACTGCAGACATCAGGGGGGCTGGTTGGGTCTTGACTGAACCCAATACAGATTATCAGCAAGGTTTCCCTGGTGAGTTTGACGACACAAGGTTGGGACAGTTACGTCGCAGTGGGTCTAAAAGTTCCTGTTCTAGTGGAAGCAGCTCCAATGTCAGAGTATGTGACATGTAGTTATGTAGAATTAGCTTATTTTGATACTCACCAACCAGAAGAGCAGCTTAGAAGATGTAGGTAGTCCTTTGTCATTTGTGTCAATACTATCAATGTTTCAGTTCAGTAATGGGAGTGGGATGTACACTATGGCTGATCAGAATTACAACCTAGCCAAGGAGCTTCCACCAGGCTGGGAACTGAGATTCCTCTCAACTGGTCCGTTAGTAATTAGTTTATAATTATGGGTCAACTACCATTTCGTATTATTTTGGTAAAAGATTAACACCATGAGTGTTGCTTTTTTAGGGTTTATTGACATATGTTTTTAATAACAACTCAGAAATGATTTTTGTATGATGTAGTTGTGGCTTTACAGATTATCAAAGTTACTACTGCTCATCTACTGCTGTCTGCTACATCCCTACTGATACTTCACTCTTCAGGTCGAATGTACTACTGCCATCTACCTACTGATACTCAACATTGGAACCACCCACACGAAAAGGCTGACTTACCCCCTGGTTTGTATTATTAGTTATCGAATGATAAAACATTATTATGGAATTTAGGTATATTGAGAAGTATAGAACTAATTGCTTGGGTCTAAATAGATGCAAAGTTGAAAGATAAGGTTCTTAGTTTAATTCATTTTTGAAGCTATATTTTTGTGTAGTTCATTTCCATTTACCTTGTGTATTTTATTTAGGTTATTTGATTCTCGATTGTTAGAGGCATTTTAGATCTTCGTGTGTTTAGTACTAATTAAACTAACCAACTTAATTTCTTTGTATCTAATGATGTAATTTAACGAAGTATACACTACATTTGCGTGTTTCACTGTCTAGCCCAGTGACATAAAGTGAGGAATCTAAGAATCTAATTCCTAGCCATATTAATTTCCATAGCCACGCCGACTAATTTTTGTCAACAAAATTATTAAATCAACTTTAAAATAGTCGCTCTCGGTTGTTACACACTGTAACGCCGCGCACTGTACTTTAATTCTATATTTATCTGAGAAGATGTTCGAATCGAGCGCAAATGCCAGATTCCTGTCAGGATCCTAGTTCTTGCGCTTAACTTGCGCGTTACCAAATAATCCAAGATATTTCTGTCAGGATCCAAGATTTTCCTACTACCAGTATGGTAGTATGGACTGTTTGGTAGTATGGTAGTATGGTAGTTGCAGGAACGCGCGAAGACCTATATGTAAATATTACTAAAGCGTACATGGAATCGTATCCTAGTCGGTTAATCCGTCGGTACTATATTAGCAGATCGCGAGTTCGAGACCCGGAAAGGAATTTTTTCACAATCTTTTGGCAATTATGAATAACTATACTAATGAATTAATAACTATACTAATGAATAACTAAACCTCTGTAATATAACTAGCAAAGTAAAATGAAATCGTTATCCGGCCGCGGAGCGGCCGAAAAATTTATGGTAGTCGTTTTAAAAATATATGGTAGCCGTTTTTTCTTTCCAGACTGGATTCCTAGTCCCTTTTTAAATTTATGTCACTGGGCTGTCTAGCCCACCAACCATAATCTTTGAAAACATTATGCCAATATAATACTAAACAGTGACTTAATAAATCCGTGTCGGAATTCAACGTTGAGGCCAGTGTCAGTCAGTTCAGGTAGAATCTCTTGCTTTGTTAATGCAGGTGTCCCAAAAAATACAACCAAGTAAATTTTGTTCATCACTCAGATTTAAACGACTTGAAAATTCTCAAGTTAGGGCAAAACTCCATCAGGAACTTGTTTTCACCTAGTGAGAAAGTTTCTCTAATTTTAGGATCTGTGTGACAATTATGTGATTCTCCCTGTCAACAGCTGCAGGATCTGGTCAGCTCGTGGGGTTAGCTGATGACTTCATTAACTGATAATGTGATTGTTACTCGTTGGCTAACTAATCAACAGGCCAATCAGTACATGTGACATCCGTAATGAATTACTCATTACATGACTCATTACAGTCATATAATGTGGTGTTTTCAATGAAATGAGGTGGTTATTGGGACCAATTACAAACTGTTATGTGTACAATAACGTCTTGTGTTTTATCTGAATGTCAGTATTTGTGCCTCTATAAATAGTTCCTTTCACACTACTGAGTATCTAAAGTTTCACTTGATAGTTTTCAACACCATTTATTATTATTATTTCTGATATGTGTCAAAAAGATATATGTCACACCTCCCGCTCCAAACCAGAATCTATCTCTATAATAGTCCCTGTAAATGATAAATGTCGTTCTTAAACCATTATTTGTTTATTAACACTGATTAATTGGCTGCGTTTTTTGGGACACCCTGTACAATTCAATGTATGTTTCTATTATTTAGTGTACATTTACACCAATAAAAACACCACACAGATAAAATTGACCCTAATAACATTTCAGGATGGGAGCGAGTGTATAATAATGAGTACGGCGAATATTTCGTAAACCACATCACCAAAACAGCCCAGTTCCTGCATCCTGGCTCACTGCCAAATCCTGTGTCTGGTGAAGATCATGCTCAAGCGCTGGCAGTAAGTCACGTGTTAACATTAGTAGTACATTAATAGTACATTAGTAGTACATTAGTGGGGGGGGGGGGGGTGTCACGTCCGTCTATGTCCGCTTGTCTCATAGAATCCAAAAAGGACAGGACATAGGCGGACATAGGCGGACATAGACGGACATAGGCGGACATAGGCGGACATAGACGGACATAGGCGGACATAGGCGGACATAGGCGGACATTAATGGACACCTAAATTGCTAAATAAAATGTTCAATTTTTGCTGTTATAGGGGGGATCATGTTTTTTGTCCGTTCGGTACCCTATATTTTCAAAACGGACAAAAAATAGAGCGGACTAAAACGGACAAAAATGGACAAAAACGGACAAAAATGGAAATAACATTTAGATGCTTCCTCCTCCTACTCTTCCTCCTCCTCCCCCTGGGTCTTCCTGATCTTCCTCAGTCCTCTTCCTCCTCCCCTCCTCAGTCCACCTCCTACTCCTCCTCCTCGTCCTCAGTCCTCCTCATCAGTCCTCAACAGTCCTCCTCCTCCCCAGTCCTCCTCCTCCTCCTGAGTCCTCCTCCTGGGTCCTCCTCCTGAGTCATCCTCCTCCTCTTCATCCTGGGTCTTCCTCATCCTTCTCCTCCCTCTCAGTCATCCTCCTCCTCCTTCTCCTCAGTCCTCCATCCTCCTCCTCAGTCCTCCCCCAGTCCCCCTCCTCCTCCTCCTATTCAGTCCTCCTCCTCCTCCTCCTCCTTCTCAGTCCTCCTCAGTCCTCCTCCTCCTCCTGAGTCCTCCTCCTCTTCCCTCTCAGTCATCCTCCTCAGCCATCCTCCTCAGTCCTCCTCAGTCCTCCTCCTCAGTCCTCCTCCTCCTGGGTCCTCCTCCTCCTCTTCATCCTCCTCCTCTTCCTCCTCGGTCCTCAGTCCTCCTCCTCCTGCGTCCTCCTCCTCATCCTTCTCATCAGTCCTCCTCCTCCCCAGTCCTCTCCCAGTCCCCCTCCTTCTCCTCCTCCTATTCAGTCCTCCTCCTCCTCAGTTCTCCTCAGTCCTCCTTCTCATTTCTCCTAAGTCCTCCTCCTGAGTCCTCCTCCTCTTCCTTCTGAGTCCTCCTCCTCCTCCCTCTCAGTCATCCTCCTCAGCCATCCTCCTCAACCATCCTCCTCAGTACTCCTCAGTCCTCCTCCTTCTCAGTCATCGTCAGTCCTCCTCCTCAGTCCTCCTCAGTCCTCCTCCTCCTCCTGGGTCCTCCTCCTCCTCCTGGGTCCTCCTGGGTCTTCCTGATCCTCCCCAGTCCTCTTCCTCCTCCCCTCCTCAGTCCTCCTCCTACTCCTCCTCCTCGTCCTCAGTCCTCCTCATCAGTCATCCTCCTCAGCCATCCTCCCCAGCCATCCTCCTCAGCCATCCTCCTCAGTACTCCTCAGTCCTCCTCCTTCTCAGTCATCGTCAGTCCTCCTCCTCAGTCCTCCTCCTCCTCCTGGGTCCTCCTCCTCCTCCTCCTCCTGGGTCCTCCTGGGTCTTCCTGATCCTCCCCAGTCCTCTTCCTCCTCCCCTCCTCAGTCCTCCTCCTACTCCTCCTCCTCGTCCTCAGTCCTCCTCATCAGTCCTCAACAGTTCGCCTCCTTCCCAGTTTTCCTCCTCCTCCTGGGGCCTTTTCCTGGGTCCTCCTCCTGGGTCCTCCTCCTCCTGGGTCCTCCTCCTCCTGGGTCCTCCTTCTCCTCCTCAGTCCTTCTCCTCCTCCTCCTCAGTACTCTTCCTCCTCTTCCTCCTCCTCCTCCCTCTCAGTCATCCTCCTCAGCCATCCTCCTCAGCCATCCTCCTCAGTCCTCCTCCTTCTCAGTCCTCCTCAGTCCTCCTCCTGAGTTCTCCTCCTCCTCAGTCATCCTCCTCCTCCTCCTAGGTCCTCCTTCTGGGTCCTCCTCCTCCTCCTCCTCCTCCTGGGTCTTCCTGATCCTTCTCCTCCCTCTCAGTCATCCTCCTCAGTCATCCTCCTCAGTCATCCTCCTCAGCCATCCTCCTCAGCCATCCTTCTCAGCCATCCTCCTCAGCCATCCTCCTCAGTACTCTTCAGTACTCTTCAGTACTCTTCAGTCCTCAAAATGTTTGTCCGCTAATGTACACCAATGTCCGCTAATGTCCATCCAAGTCCGCCTATGTCCGTCCGGGTCCGCCAATGTCCGTCCGAGTCCGCCAATGTCCGTCCGAGTCCGCCAATGTCCGTCCGAGTCCGCCAATGTCCGTCCGTGTCCGCCAATGTCCCAAAAAACACGTCCGTTGTGTCATAGAATCCAAAAAGGACAGGACATAGGCGGACATAGACGGACATGACACCCCCCCCCCCATTAGTAGTACATTAGTAGTACATTAGTAGTACATTAGTAGTACATTAGTAGTACATTAGTAGTACATTAGTAGTACATTAGTAGTACATTAGTAGTACATTAGTAGTACATTAGTAGTACATTAGTAGTACATTAGTAGTACCTGAATATTAGAGACTGAATATTAGAATATTAGAGAATATTAGAGATTATTAGAGACTGTGTTGTGCTGGATAACTACCTAAATTAGTATATTGGGGGGGGTGTCACGTCCGTCTATGTCCGCTTGTCTCATAGAATCCAAAAAGGACAGGACATAGGCGGACATAGGCGGACATAGGCGGACATAGGCGGACATAGACGGACATAGGCGGACATAGGCGGACATAGACGGACATAGGCGGACATAGGCAGACATTAATGGACACCTAAATTGCTAAATAAAATGTTCAATTTTTGCTGTTAGAGGGGGAATCATGTTTTTTGTCCGTTCGGTACCCTATATTTTCAAAACGGACAAAAAATAGAGCGGACAAAAACGGAAAAAAATGGACAAAAACGGACAAAAATGAAAATAACATTTAGATGCTTCCTCCTCGACTACTCTTCCTCCTCCTCCTCCTGGGTCTTCCTGATCTTCCTCAGTCCTCTTCCTCCGCCCCTCCTCAGTCCTCCTACTCCTCCTCCTCGTCCTCAGTCCTCCTCATCAGTCCTCAACAGTCCTCCTCCTCCCCAGTCCTCCTCCTCCTCCTGAGTCCTCCTGGGTCCTCCTCTTCATCCTCCTCCTCTTCCTCCTCAGTCCTCAGTCCTCCTCCTCATCCTTCTCCTCAGTCCTCCATCCTCCTCTTCAGTCCTCCCCCAGTCCCCCTCCTCCTCCTCCTATTCAGTCCTCCTCCTCCTCCTCCTCCTCCTCCTCCTCAGTCCTCCTCCTTCTCAGTCCTCCTCAGTCCTCCTCCTCCTCCTCCTGAGTCCTCATCCTCCTCCGACTCCTCTTCCCTCTCAGGCATCCTCCTCAGCCATCCTCCTCAGACCTCCTCAGTCCTCCTCCTCAGTCCTCCTCCTCCTGGGTCCTCCTCCTCTTCTTCATCCTCCTCCTCTTCCTCCTCGGTCCTCAGTCCTCCTCCTCCTGGGTCCTCCTCCTCATCCTTCTCATCAGTCCTCCTCCTCCCCAGTCCTCTCCCAGTCCCCCTCCTTCTCCTCCTCCTATTCAGTCCTCCTCCTCCTCCTCCTCCTCAGTTCTCCTCAGTCCTCCTTCTCATTTCACCTAAGTCCTCCTCCTGAGTCCTCCTCCTCCTCCCTCTCAGTCATCCTCCTCAGTCATCCTCCTCAGCCATCCTCCTCAGCCATCCTCCTCAGTACTCCTCAGTCCTCCTCCTTCTCAGTCATCGTCAGTCCTCCTCCTCAGTCCTCCTCCTCCTCCTGGGTCCTCCTCCTCCTCCTCCTCCTGGGTCCTCCTGGGTCTTCCTGATCCTCCCCAGTCCTCTTCCTCCTCCCCTCCTCAGTCCTCCTCCTACTCCTCCTCCTCGTCCTCAGTCCTCCTCATCAGTCCTCAACAGTTCTCCTCCTCCCCAGTCCTCCTCCTCCTCCTGGGGCCTTTTCCTGGGTCCTCCTCCTGGGTCCTCCTCCTCCTTGGCCCTCTTCCTTCTGGGTCCTCCTTCTCCTCCTCAGTCCTTCTCCTCCTCCTCCTCAGTCCTCTTCCTTCTCGTCCTCCTCCTCCTCCCTCTCAGTCATCCTCCTCAGCCATCCTCCTCAGTCCTCCTCCTGAGTCCTCCTCCTGAGTCCTCCTCCTGAGTCCTCCTCCTCCTCAGTCATCCTCCTCAGTTCTCCTCCTCCTCCTAGGTCCTCCTTCTGGGTCCTCCTCCTCCTCCTCCTCCTTCTGGGTCTTCCTGATCCTTCTCCTCCCTCTCAGTCATCCTCCTCAGTCATCCTCCTCAGTCATCCTCCTCAGCCATCCTCCTCAGCCATCCTCCTTAGCCATCCTCTTCAGCCATCCTCCTCAGCCATCCTCCTCAGTACTCTTCAGTACTCTTCAGTCCTCAAAATGTTTGTCCGCTAATGTCCACCAATGTCCGCTAATGTCCACCAATGTCCGTCCAAGTCCGCCAATGTCCGTCCGGGTCCGCCAATGTCCGTCCGAGTCCGCCAATGTCCGTCCGAGTCCGCCAATGTCCGTCCGTGTCCGCCAATGTCCCAAAAAACACGTCCGTTGTCTCATAGAATCCAAAAAGGACAGGACATAGGCGGACATAGACGGACATGACACCCCCCCCCCCCCTATATTATTAGTACATAATATATATTATGTACATAATATATAATATATAATTTAGTATACATTATTTACACTGTGTATTGTATTACAGTGTGATGGAAAGATTTCAGAACTTGTAATTTACACAGAAATACCGGACTAAAACCACAATTCTTTAGCGGTGTGAAATTTGAGTAGCTGTTTGGCACATAAACTTTCACATGATGCGTTATAATGCCGTAGACACATCAACTAATATTGAGTTATTGGCAACTTCTTAAATAATTGACTTGAACTTCTTCGTGGGATTACTTTTTCAACGTCGGTTATTGACAGTGCTGCTTATTAAATAAGCTAATACCCATGTTGATGTTATCCCTCAAACGACAAAGTTGCCATATTGAAGTATTAAAGATCATGATCTTACTACTTCAATAAAATATAGAAATATTATTTTCTATGGAACGTCGCGTAGTCTACTGTCTAGTCATGAGTTATTTAAAATACTAACATGCTAACAGTAAAGCTGTTACAATGCATGGTATAGTTATTTTAATTTTGAAAGATAGCAGAAGCCTTAAATTTTGTCAAATATTAACACCATAATACGCGACGTACATCAATGTATATTGTATAATACATTGTATATTGTATTATATGGTAATTAACATGATGCTAATATTTATTTCTAAGCTTCCCCATGAGTAAATACAGATTAAACTTTAGACTATAATAATGGTATATATCAAGATTTAACCCAAATAATATCGTATGAGGCTAGTGACTCAACAAGTTCTGCTTTTTACGGTCATACGAATTTTTACAAAGTCCAAGTTTAATAGATTTGTAGTGTTGTAATCCCGTTGTAATTAGTTTAAAAATCAATTACCAAACACTGCAAATTCATACTTCGAAGAAATTATAAGTGTAGTGTTGTTAAAAATACACGTCAAAAGTCTAACCCCATTTTCCGTGTACTCAATCAGTACGTCTTAGGCGAAACGCTAATTAATTAGTTAGTTACATGGTCTTTATTTACATGCTCTTTTAATCAATAATTAACACTCTTTCTTTCTGCAGTGAAGCAGAGGAAGATCTTACAAGGAGACAGCGCACAGTTCCACTTACGTCCCGCCCTCCCAGTGTATCTGATTGAGGTACAGTTTTAAAACGCGTGTAAACTTACTTTAATAACTTACGCATCTAAACTTACTTTAAATATAACCTTCTCTGATAACTTTGTTGTTTCTTTTCCCCATGAATTGTAATGAAATACCCTGAATAGTGTTCAGGAGTTGATTTTGGATATTAATTGGGAGAAAGATTCACGGATAATTGGTTAGGGTTTTCATTCATATTACACAATGACAACTCTTGCAAAAAAACCACCAGGTGTACTGTAAGTACATCTTTATAAAGTGTCAGTATCTGTTCATAATGATGTGTCATTTTCTCGATTTGCATTTTGAATAGGAAATGTGTAGAACAACTATTATCGGAAATGGACGCAAGAGAAGGGTGTAATTGAAGCAAGAAAAATGACTCAGCCATATCACTATTATGTAATAGCTCGTTTACCAAAAGTTAAAAAACCCAAAAAATACGCCATCCTTTAATCTTTATAACCAGTTACTGTAAATCTCTTTTTTACCTTAATCGCCACAATTTACCCATTTACCATTTATCCAACTTCTTCAATTAGTTAATAAGGCTCACCTCACAATTCCTGCTCACTACAAGCAATGTACAGAGTTAATTGATGTTAAAATGATGTCATTTTACACTGTGCAACTACCGATCTTTAGAACTAACACTCGGAGTGTTGTTTTACAGACTGATTATGTTAATTCAATGTGATTTAAATCGGTTAATAATCGGTTACTAATCGGTTACTAATTTTTCTACAAAAAGTTGTCTTCATCCATCTAATCCTATTATCATTTCTCCATTTTGGTCGTACTGATACCAATCCGTCCACGAAAATGCATTTTTACCTGTTATAAAAAATGAAAAGATCCAAAAATTGGAGAATTGTATTACATTACATTTTGTTACAAAATAACAACCTGACGATAACAACTCTAAATCAGTGTTGTAGCTGGTTGCCTACGAAGAGGAGTTACAACTTTGCACTGTCACTTGTTAAAAGAAGCAGTTGTTTGTTTACACTGCTTACCATTCTCACAAGAACGTAGAACGAAAGGAATTGTTCCTCTGATTTGGTCACAGTTCAGATTGAGGAGTTATTTTAATCTATAAACAAAATTATTAACGAATTCTAAAGTGATTACACGTTTGGTCATTCAAATCAATCCAGAGAAGATGTGGGTTTAAGTCATTCAGGCATACAATCGGCTTTCCATTTAACACTTAAGTTGAAATTATGTATTATTTGTGTAATTATATTGGTGTAATTATTACACAATTTTATTATTACCTCTCCCGCAGAAACCGACAAAGCTATAGAAGATCTAATAAGTAGCAAGGGTCAAAGAGAAATATCCTGAACATGGCTCTTATCGGAGAGGAACAGTCTCTGTGGACGGTATATAAATACCTCTTAGTATTTTAAAATTCCTTATTACTGGAACTCAGGAATTATGTTTTTTAAAGCTTTAGTTATGGTTGTCCAAGTTATTAAATTGGTTATTTTAAAGTTGTTGTTAAAGTTATTAATTTGAACAGTTTGCACTTCAGGTAAGAAATAGTATTGATGACAGAGCACCTGGATGTTGACCCAATAGGGACGGTAACAATGAACTTTGTGCACTGTTACCCCACCTGCATCTTATCGGTTTCACCGTTCTCAAAACCGTCCAGTTCGGTGTAATCTACAACCCAGTGCTGGATCAGTTGTTTACGGGTAGACTGGGTTTCGGTGCACAGTTGAACGGGTTCCCATCGCAGGTAACCGGGGAGACTAAACTTAATAAGTCACTGTGATTTGTGAGATGGGAGGAAAACGAGACGCCCAAACCATGGCTATCAAAACACAGAACATGGCAGCTGTGTGCTCTGAACCAGACGCGTGTCACGGGCTGCGCATGCAAAGGCAGCGTGACGGTCTGAACATCTGCGCTGTAGCGTGCGGCGCGGCAGACGGGTATTGGGAGAGCGGAATGCACATCTGGGATATTGCTGCAGCGAGTGTGATCTGACTGAGGCGGGTGGGGTGGTGTTGTCCCCGGTAGTGGGGGAGCAGTTGGATTTGTTGAAGAGGAGGATTGTTGCGGCTAGCTCGGTGGAGTTGGGGACTGTACTTCAGAGCAAGATCCAACATGTTGACTTTCCTTCTGATTAGAATAGCAATCGATAGATTTGATAGACTGTTTTAAAAGGTTGAGCTCATGATCCTTTATTTGATTGTTAGGTTAATTGTATGAGTTCTACTATTTGTGTGTATGATTTCTTATTATTTGCAGTTTCGTTTTTAAATATACTGTGTACAGCAATGTGTGTCTTGTAGGATGAAGTGGAGAGGGCTGTTGAATTTTGTGTATTTGGGCGTGTCAACTGTCAATGTAATGTTGTCAGTTCTTAATTTCATGTCGCTTTTTTTCATGTCGCTTTACCATTAACTTATTATTTATAACTGATTTATTTATAATCAAGTGTTCTTATACATATTCTTATAATACAAGTATTATACATGTACATGTTATATTATTATATTATGCATACCTTAATTACCTTTTGATCTTGGGTCCTTAGTAGGGCATTTTATTAACAGTTTTTAAACTGATTTGAAAGTCCTGCAAGCAGATTGAAGCTTCTTTAAATTATTTATTATCCTAATGTATTGCTGTGTAAATTTGATTATAATTCTGATTCTAATTATATACTATCAATTATAATTAGTATAATGTGCGACTGGATGTGTTTCTTTGCATTTTCATTGAAGCTCAGTTAACATGGCCGCGAGCATGGTTACATAGTAATCATGGCTTGATGTGGATACAAGGGTACTAACTACTAAGCCTTAACACCATCACCCATCATACCACGAGACGTCCGCGTCATCACGCCAAATAACATCACACCAGTCACCACTGTTGACGTAACTAAGGTTTTGATGACGTCACGTGACCCACCTCAGGAGATCCCGATCTGGCTACAGGAATACGCTCAGTCAGCCAGTGAACCAGTACGAATGGGTAGAAGAGTCAGCCGCTAACCTGGACAAGTACCAGACCATGATGACCAGATTGTACAGACAGGAACTTAAGGAGTGTATTGAGCAATATGAGGTATTAGTAGTTCCTGGGCAAGAGTTATACCATGATTACTTGATTAGTGATTAGTAATCACTAATCAACTAATCATGGTATACATTTCGTAATCACTGATTACCGTGATGTACAGGCATGAAGACAAATGTAATAATGTAACAATCTTATCTTTCAAAAGTTTATTATTGTTATATACAGGAACACAGAAACAGAATTATACGGGAATTGGAGGAGCGGATGCAATTACACGATCTCTCACAAGCACCATCCGCAGCACCAAATCTAGAGACTTATGTCTAATGTTGAACTTTTATAATGACGTCATGGAACGTTGTGGTGACGTCACGAAATGTTTTACATTGTATAGATCTTCAATAATTTCAATCCTCGTCCCTGAGGGTGTGAGACCTCTCTAAATTGCACATCATTGTGTTTTTCTGTTATCCATTTGTTTTCGAATTATCCTCAGTGATCAGCCAGATTTCAGTATATTATTATAACGATTGATTCCTTGATCTTTAGCCTTCTTAGTGTGTTCAGATATGTTTGATTTAATTATCATACTCTTTTACGCGGTGAAATATTTTTAGAATCGAATATTATTTATAACTTTTTATGGAAGTAGCTACAGTACTGGTTGATAACTTTTATAATATTTTAACGAAAGGAAATCTTATAAAATCCTTCACGACTAACTTAGTGCCGTTACTCAACCGTTCTATTTTGGTGCATTTTGTTGCCTCTTAGCAAGTTACATCCATGAGCTGGAATTTGTGGAATGTAGGTATTAGATGTATACTGCGAGTCGGTTTATCACGAATATTAATAAATAAATGCCGTAATCATATATTAATAGTCTAAATATTTGGTTACATCATGATCTTATTATTTAATAGTTGTACCCTCTCGCCCATGTTTTGAATCCTTGTCAGATTTATGAAAAAGGTTGTTCTGCTCTGAGCAATTTTGTTATTCAACGAACTTTGTAGTGAACATTTTCCATCAGGTTTTAGTTTCAACTTTGGGTGTCAAATTTTCACTCACTTCAGTTTGCTCGTGCTTGGGTTCCGTCAATTTTTCATCGACATTTTTATCCACGAGTATTGTAACTTGATATTTTTATTTTTTATCTCTTAAATTTTGTGTACAATTCTGCTGTCACTCTGTTTGCTGCTGCGGACAGATGGATGTTTCACTTGTATTTTATATTATAATTTACCTTTCGTAATGAAAGCAGTTGTCTCAATACCGTTCTTTAAAAAATCCGAAGAATGGAATTTACACCCATTTCTGTTTTCATTGCTGATCTCATTGTTGATGGCAAACAGGGTGTTTCAAAAGTCTTGCGGAGGATGTACTTTTTGAATGATTTCCATCCACTTCATTGAACTGTAAAAGGTTACAGATAGTTCTAATGTTTTATGTCGACTATTGAATTTTTGCCTTGTTATGGCCATCATAGCAACCACATTGCCTAGCAAGCGAGCCAAATTTATGTGATTTGTACGAATCATAGGTATGTAAAAGTCGCTCTTAAACCTAGACCTATCAATAACCTTTTTACAGTATGAAGTTAAGACAAATTGGAAAACAATTTTTTTTTAAGAAAGTTCATCATCGCAAGACTTATGTAACACCCTAGCCTGTAATACTAATATTCGTTATTTAAAAACGATAGTGTTCGATACTCACTGCCGTACAATAACCCTATTAAATTGCAGCAAGCATAGCGACATGTAAGGCTATGTAAGAAGCTAAGTAAAAATGTGGGGTCTAGAACCCGTTATCAAGCCTTTATGACTGGCAAAGAACCGCGTGAGTTATTTGTAATTTGTAATTAGTAAATTTGTTGAAAAATTGAGAAATGATTCTTTTTAGGGGGCGGTGACTGAGGGTCCACGTGAAAAAGTGAGATTTTAAGCACCCTATTTTGCAATTTCACTTTTTCACCTTGAAGGTGGTGGACGTTTTCAGACTAAAATTGGACCCCCTCCATTAATTAAACATAATTAACAGTATAGAGTCTATACTATAGACCAGTCTGTGAGTGCTGAGTATATCTCCATAAATTTTGATACACCTAAAACTGCATGGTCACACACTTTTCCCCACAGCTGTAACGTCGTTACCATGGGAACGTGGGTGGGGAGCGGCCTCTTCTCTCCAAGCCCCATCAGACACATTCCATTGTGGACAGTACGTTCTACAGACCTTGCTTACTGAGTTCAGCCTTCAGGTCGAGAGGAAAATAACAAATGTTCTGAAAGATTCCGTGGTAGGTTGAGCTGCGGCCGTTTTATACACTCATTATCCTTGATTAACTCATTATCTAATTACTATGGCTTGGCTGACACGTCATCTTTTTTACACATATAGCAGTAGTTCGTGTATTTGATTGATAATAAATGAAATCTGCAAGTTGATTGAGAACTCTTATCGCTTGTAAAAATTAATGTATGTCACTCCTCGTCCATAAATCATAATCATTAATCAGGTCAATTAAAATACTTTATTATATAATGATAATACAGGGTGGGCCAAAAGTCAGTACCCATACGTTGGCCTTTATAGCTCAGTCACTGAGTGCCCAATTTAAATACTTCTTTCTGGTATGACTTAGTACCACCACTGCAACTGGTTCGAGGAGTTTGTCAACTCGAAAAATATTCTCGTTCATTTTTTTCAAATGGAGGTTCATTTTCACATTTATTTGATAGTTTGGATAGTCGGATCAAGCTAAATGTTATTGAATTGTGTTTGGCCATTCGAATTACGTTTGTCCTGAAAGAATTAGAACTGTAGCTTCTCAGATGACAGAGATATGAAGCATAACGAGTTTATTCATTACGTGTGATCAGGTGATTGGTTTACCTAATCACGTGATAAGGTGCCCCCGTTAACTACCCCGTTAAACATTATGGGAATTGTTAAGGGTGCCCAATTAAGGTGTCGTGTCACGGTGTCACATAATCACCCAGTCAATATTGTTAACGAGATACAGAAAATGCTTGATAACTTCGTCATTTCTAATCCGTTTTGCCTCATGTTTTCAGATCATATGCAACATTTGATAATCTACCATCTCTGAAAAAAATTAGGCGTTCAGCATGTTCAGAGAAAACAATATAGGTGTTTTAATATTGAATGGGCGTGGTCTAAAATATTCGAGTTTTCAAATTTTGACGACGGAATCCTCGAACCAGTAAGTACAGTATGCCATCTGCAAAGCAACAGCTCTCAAATATAAAACACGGCGGAGCTATTAAGGCCAACGTATGGGTACTGACTTTTGGCCCACCCTGTAGTATAGATAATAGTATAGTATATGTTTACAGTACACTATAATGTTGATGTACTGACAGTACTGAAGAGTGAAGGGGTAACCTAAGAAGATTCTTGATCTTTTATCAGGGCTCCTGCTCATTTAACCCTCGCTCAAGTTTCCTATCAATTGTCATATTTAACTAACTAACTAATTAACTAACTAACTAATTAACTAACTAATTAACCAACTAATTAACTAACTAATTAACTAACTAATTAACTAACTAATTAACTAACTAATTAATTAACTAACTAATTAACTAACTAATTAACTAACTAATTAACTAACTAATTAACTAATTAACTAACTAACTAACTAACTAACTAACTAATTAACTAACTAATTAACTAACTAACTAATTAACTAACTAACTAATTAACTAACTAATTAACTAACTAATTAACTAACTAATTAATTAACTAATTAACTAACTAATTAACTAACTAATTAACTAACTAACCACAGAATAAGGAGTTAGCCCGGACTCTGCTAGCTGGAGATAAAGATGAGTTTGACATGTTACTGAAGTGTCTGACTAACGTGTCAGAACATGCTCTACCTTCCATACTTACCGCGCTCTTCCAGTGGCACGATATGCAGGTTAGTGATTAGTAATTAATCAGTTCATAAATTAATTTGTTGAACGATCCTTTGACTGATCAGTCGATTGATTAAATCTAAATTAAAATCAATGGTTTTGCAATTTAAGTTATTATGAGGGATCATCTCCTTTTACCGTGTACTCTACAAATGTTCGATATTGAAGGAGTGCAAGAACGACAAAAATTGCGGGAATGGCGAACTCTTTCGTTATCATCAGAATGTGATTATTATCAAGATTCAAGTAGTACACTTCTGAAACGTTTCAGATAAAGCCGATACAAGAAGCAAGGAAGAGTAACAAAGAGTTGTCCAGTGTAGGAGAAACTAGAGGAGAAAATTATAGGAGATCACTACCGTAAGTAGTTTGTTTGTTTGTCACTTTGTTTGTCTGTTTGTCATTTCACAGTCCTTGTTCGTTTGTTTGTCACTTTGTTCGTCTGTCTGTCTGAATTTTTTTCGTTGATCTACCTGTTTGTCCCCTGCCTGAACAACTTTTAAATAAGTTTTCTCTTCCGTACTACTAATTAACCAGTTGCAGTTTAGGGAATTACTCGTCAGTCGTCAGGTATGTTCGTTAGTCTGTTAAGTTTCTGTTATTTTCACTTAAGGGGGCTGGGGGGTCTTCATGAAAATTCTCTCGAAATTGAATTTATAGTTGTTTAAGATAGAGGGGAGTAATATCTACCAGCTGCTTTTGGTCCTATGAAAAAATATTTTTCCTAGCCAAAATTATCGATATGTTCTAGGGGCCATTTAGAAGAGGGACCATCTCTTCTAAATGGTCCCTAGAACATATCCTGAAAGTTTGAGGGTGATTGCTCAAAAAATGTAGAAGAAGATAGATTTTTAGACTCGATTTTCAAAATTCTTGATTGAAAATCGCTCGTGCAATACAATAATTACACATAAGCGCTGACCTTAGACCGGCGATAATTTCGGCTAGAAACAATATTTTTCCATGGGACCAAAAGCAGCTGGTAAATATCACCCCCCTCTCTTAGAAACAACTATAAAGTCAATTTCGAGAGAATTTTGATGAGGACCGCCCCGGCCCCCTTAATCTAGGATTGTTTAAATTGGTTCACCCGAACTTTCTAAACATTACCACTACAGACCAGTTCTACAACCAAAACTGAACACTACCGACCAACACTTTTACGACGACTTACAACCACCTGCCCTGAAATACTTTAGGTTAATTAATCATCGTACAAAGCCAAAAGTAACTGTATGCTCGTAATCAATATGTTAACAATGTGTAGTTATTTAAACGTAGCATATTTAATATTTATGCTTTCCCGCTCAACAGCTGATGTGCGTTGCAATTCCATTAATGGCTGTGGTGCTGTCATAGTGTATTATTTTCGGAACACTGCAATTAATACAGGGTGGGCCAAAAGTCAGTACCCATACGTTGGCCTTAATAGCTCCGCCGTGTTTTATATTTGAGAGCTGTTGCTTTGCAGATGGCATACTGTACTTACTGGTTCGAGGATTCCGTCGTCAAAATTTGAAAATACGAATATTTTAGACCACGCCCATTCAATATTAAAACACCTATATTGTTTTCTCTGAACATGCTGAACGCCTAATTTTTTCAGAGACGGTAGATTATCAAATGTTGCATATGATCTGAAAACATGAGGCAAAACGGATTAGAAATGACGAAGTTATCAAGCATTTTCTGTATCTCGTTAACAAAATTGACTGGGTGATTATGTGACACCGTGACACGACACCTTAATTGGGCACCCTTAACAATTCCCATAATGTTTAACGGGGTAGTTACCGGGGTCACCTTATCACGTGATTAGGTAAACCAATCACCTGATCACACGTAATGAATAAACTCGTTATGCTTCATATCTCGGTCAATTGAGAAGCTACAGTTCTAATTCTTTCAGGACAAACGTAATTCGAATGGCCAAACACAATTCAATAACATTTAGCTTGATCCGACTATCCAAACTATAAAATAAATGTGAAAATGAACCTCCATTTGAAAAAAATGAAAGCGAATATTTTTCGAGTTGACAAATTCCTCGAACCAGTGGTGGTACTAAGTCATACCAGAAAGAAGTATTTAAATTGGGCACTCAGTGACTGACCTATAAAGGCCAACGTATGGGTACTGACTTTTAGGCCCACCCTGTATTATCATTATATAATAAAGTATTTTAATTGACCTGATTAATGATTATGGACGAGGAGTGACATACATTAATTTTTACAAGCGATAAGAGTTCTCAATCAACTTGCAGATTTCATTTATTATCAATCAAATACACGAACTACTGCTATATGTGTAAAAAAAGATGACGTGTCAGCCAAGCCATAGTAATTAGATAATGAGTTAATTAAGGATAATGATTAATGAGTGTATAAAACGTACAACAAAATAATATTATACAATCAGGCTTTCAAGCTGCTCTTGTGAAGAAAACTATTTTGCCGGATTTTGCCGGACCGGAACCGGGCGTATAAAGAGGAAATTTTAGACTACCGGAGTTTCTGGAAATTTTAAATTATTCATTTTTACATCTATCATTTAAAAATGTGGCCGCAAATATAAAAGCCAATTATCTATTTAATTCGGCAATATCATGGTCCCGCACCTGCTATAATACGCTGAAATACAAAGTTAAAGACCCGGCATGTAACTTAATTTGTAATTATTCTGCCCCGAAATCTAAACCCTAAGATCTGGTATGTTAGTCAATTAGAAAATAAAATTTTCGATAGTAAATCAAATGTACGTGATGTATAAAATGTATCTGAAAAGTTTAGAAATTTACCAACCTCAGATAAGATTTTAGAGGATCTAACATCTTTCCTAAAAGTTTTGATATCTCCGACCTTAACCCTTTACGAACTTAAAGTCGTTGTTCTCCACTTATCTCATGCTGTTCAATTATCATATTATGTGTAACTGTAAATGTAATCTTAATGGGAGCTGATTGAGAGTGTTGTGTTTAGTTGACGTCAGGCTCAATTGTTAATTAGCACATTGGAAACTATGTGGAGAGATAGAAGGCTGTCATGGCGCCCTCGGTAACTTGTACTCTGTTTTGTAGATCTAGACTGTAGAGTACGCTATAATGAGTACAATACATTTGATGAAATGAACAATTGACTAGGAACCGATTACCGGTCTAGGGATTTGTCATTTGGCTGCTGGACCGAAAACTATCGGATATCATGATCAATCTATTTTCATATTGCCGCATTGCATTGGTTACTTGTCAGAAAATTAAAAAAATTATTGTAAAAGTTTCGAAATTTCCGATTCAGCCGGATATCTGGTCGGTTTCTCGTCTGGGACAAGTTCATGATCGCTTTAAATGGGTAAAATTTTGAACCTTGACACTAGAAATGAAACAAAATATGTAATAATATAATAATATATGTTTTTTAGCAACTAAAAAAATAATATAAACTTTGAAAATTCCCAGTTTGTACGCCCAAAAAAGCTTCCTCCGCACAGCTCATCTAGTTCAGTTTCTGCAGGGAATGTTTCGATACACGCCCAAATTCTCGTTAGTACCTATATAATAGCTTCTGTATCCTCAGCCAACCAGTTTTTTTAATACACATTTATAGCGAGGACCCCGAAGACGTCCTTTATTTATATTATAGGACACATGATTTTGAGTCTCCGTCCTTAATGCCCATCATTTGTAACGATAATTTCACAGCATTCTAGCCCCCAAAACCGAGTGTTTCTCCAAATTGAGACTGCTGCAAACCCCTCTCTACACTGAACTGTAATACTTTGGCTACTTTGAGCGTAACATCTCCCCAATACCAACTCGGGACACGTGGTTCTCCCTCCGCAATACTTTGATACTTGACTCCCCGGAATTCCCGGTATTCCTGGAACCCCTGACTTCCCAGCTTCTCCCGGTGAACCTTGCTCTCCTTTGATTCCGGGAATTCCGGGAATTCCATTTCCTCCTGTATTTCCTTTTGCACCTGGCGTTCCAGCATCTCCAGCGGCTCCTTTAGCTCCATTCAGACCAGTAGCTCCATCTTCTCCTGGCTCACCTCTCAAACAATTATTACAGAAATCGTTTATCCCGGGATCTCCTCGTCGTCCAGGTTTTCCTTTCATACCGACTTCTCCAGGAGGTCCTTTTACACCAGATTTTCCTTTCTTGCCGACTTTTTCGGAATTTCCTTGTGGATCAGACTCGCTGGGATGTCCATCTAGATCAGACATAACAGTTTGCTCTTCCTGTATTTGTGGAAGCGGTGTTTCTTGGCCGAGTTCTCGTAAAATTTTCATGTAAGACTCCGAGTCTTCTATTCTGTATCTGTATGTTTTGTTACCATATTTTTTAGTTTTAAGGTAACTGATTAGATCTGTTTTCTGCAAGTAATTTCCGCTTGATTCGTCCAAAAATGTTCCAGGTGGACAAGGTTGTGGCATTCTAATAGGTTGTGGCATTCTAATAGCGAGCCATTTAAAATGTTCTGCTGGAATCTTTTTTCCGCCCAAAACCAAATCAGTTGCTGTGTATAACTCCTTTCGATAGGGGTACGGTTGACCAATTGAGATGTTGTCAACTGACACCGCAAATGCGTCTTCCAAACACCGGATCGTAATTTGAAATCTTTTACCATTGGTAATTGTCTGCGGAAAGACTCCCCGAATACTATGAGATCTTACCTCTTGCCATGTTTTTTTCTTGGACTTGGAATTCATCATCACTATTTCCTCCTTTGGCTTAAATAAGAGATAAAATAACGTTCGGTCTCCGTCATTGATGTATATCTTTAAATTATATTTCCTCATATTCTTAATGAACATTCCATAGATTTCTATTTTATCTCCGGGAGTAAGCACCTCTTCGAAGAAATATCTCTTTTTGAGTTTGTTTATTACAATCAATCCTGAAAAGATGTTTTGTCATTTTTATATTAATTTATATATGTTTAATTTAAATATTTTATATTTATTTTATGTATGTTACCGCGCTAAAACATATTTTTAATTAGGTTTTTACTCACATGAAGCCTATAATAGCACACGTTAGCGAAAAAAGTGAGTAAGTCACGCAAATAATACCTTCCGAACTTCCGGCATCAGATGTGTTGGCTGATCCTAGTGTCACGTTGCTGTCCTTATCAGATCTTCTCAATTCACCGTTTGTGGAAGTAATCCCGCCTAACATAACAACCATAACGCGGATGAAAACCCCCAATTTCATTGTAACCTTTGGTATACGACTATTCTGAATCATCGATTCGAATAATGATATTCAAGTGCTAATGTTTAATGGACAAGTTCAATAAAGCATTGTGTAGATAAGGAGAAACAAAGGCAAAAATAATATTACCAAAATCAACCATGCCTCAGATTATGAAATTATCATAATTACCCCCATTTGTTTGCCAAGCCATTATCTTTAGAAACCCTATATCATAATAAAACATTCACTGCTCATATAATGGTAAAATACTGAATATATTCAGCACCGGTATATATACCCGATGCCCAATTAGCCAGGTTGCCCATAACTTTAAGCAATGTTCTAGCACTGTTCTAGCACCCTTCATTCTCTTATCAGACTTTCCCCCTATTATTAGAGTAAAAGTAAGTGATCGAATTTGATGTTGTTGTAATAGGCGAACTGAAATTTCTCTATCTTAATTTATACGAGGTGAGTCATGATGATAACAACATGGTGATAGATTAATTGCATTTACTTTTTGGGTCTATTGATGCCAATTTTTGAAGTGAATGAAGCTTGTTCACAAAATTGTAGGACAATGACTGCTATGTTTTAAAAGTCAATAGTGTTGCAGCATACCCCCAAATATTTCCATTAACTGTCAGTAATAAATATTAATTTATTTGAAAACAAACCACTAACTTTTAAAGAAAGTAGTTTTTAATACCACTCTACAACATTTACACAACTTAATTCTTGTTTTACACCGTCGCAACATACAGGGTGGGCCAAAAGTCAGTACCCATACGTTGGCCTTTATAGCTCAGTCACTGAGTGCCCAATTGAAATACTTCTTTCTGGTATGACTTAGTACCACCACTGCAACTGGTTCGAGGAGTTTGTCAACTCGAAAAACATTCTCGTTCATTTTTTTCAAATGGAGGTTCATTTTCACATTTATTTGATAGTTTGGATAGTCGGATCAAGCTAAATGTTATTGAATTGTGTTTTGCCATTCGAATTACGTTTGTCCTGAAAGAATTAGAACTGTAGCTTCTCAGATGACAGAGATATTCAAAGCATAACGAGTTTATTCATTACGTGTGATCAGGTGATTGGTTTACCTAATCACGTGATAAGGTGCCCCCGTTAAACATTATGGGAATTGTTAAGGGTGCCCAATTAAGGTGTCGTGTCACGGTGTCACATAATCACCCAGTCAATATTGTTAACGAGATACAGAAAATGCTTGATAACTTTGTCATTTCTAATCCGTTTTGCCTCATGTTTTCAGATCATATGCAACATTTGATAATCTACCATCTCTGAAAAAATTAGGCGTTCAGCATGTTCAGAGAAAACAATATAGGTGTTTTAATATTGAATGGGCGTGGTCTAAAATATTCGAGTTTTCAAATTTTGACGACGGAATCCTCAAACCAGTAAGTACAGTATGCCATCTGCAAAGCAACAGCTCTCAAATATAAAACACGGCGGAGCTATTAAGGCCAACGTATGGGTACTGACTTTTGGCCCACCCTGTATAATGTAACCCGCTGTACACTTAACATCGTGGTTGATTGAATGTATTAGATCGACAGTGTATATATAGGTATATAGTCCAGTATATCATAGGAATTTTCAAAAATTGTCTCTCTTTGAATCAATCAAACTAGATGAATTGTTGTAAATACTGAGATCAAACTATCAATCTACAGGCTATCGTCAAACATGTTGCAAGGCGTCATCTTCAGTGACATAAGCCCTAAAAATTGTAAAAAGTTAGTAAAACCCAAAAATCCTTAAAAAATCTTCAGAATACTCTTAAAACGGTATAAAGTTAAAATTAAGGGGGGGGGGGGGGGGGGGGGGGGCAATGGGTATTTTTTCCTGAAACTTGATCTCTAGATAACAAACTAGGACCAGTGACCGAATATTTGAGGGGGTCCACGCCCATATTTGGTCCAAATTAGGCCCAATTTATTTCCACTTATATTTATTTCCAAATTAATGAAATCAATTCCGCGAATATCACGAACGAAGATACTATACGGGCAATTTTGTTCATTTTTTGGGGTATTTTCGCCTTAGTATCCAGTATCCACATTTAAACAGATATAACGCTATTATATATAACTTACAGAGAATATGTAGTTTAGGCTTACCTTTCATATAAAGTTAGTCTCATACAAAAATATTGATATTTGACCAATTTATGGGACGAAATCTACCAAATTTGGTGCATATGCCCAAATATGGGCATATGGTTTTTGGCTCATAACTCAGCCTTTTTTTGTCTAATATTGACGAAATTTCACATACCAGTTCAGGAGACCACTAGCTACAAGTAGTGCACATAAAATATGGGTTTTGGGCATGTTCAGGGTATTTGGCTAAATTGGGCCTAATTTCGACCAAATATGGGCGTGGCTACCCCGCGTGCACCGTTTGGCGGTTGGGGTCCGGGACCCCCTCAAAAGTTCGGTCACTGGTCCTAGTTTGTTAGTCAACTGCTATCTCGAAATCAAGTTTCAAAAAATAATACCCATTGCCCCCCCCCCCCCCCCATTAAGGGGGCAGGGGGGTCTTCATGGAAATTTTCTCAAAATCGACTTTTTCTAGTTGTTTCTGATAGAGGGGAGTGATATCTATCAGATGCTTTTAATCCGATAGAAAAATATTGTTCCTAGCCGAAATTATTGCCGGTAAAAGGTCAGCGCTTGTACTGTGTGTAATTGTATTGTGCCCTGAAAATCGAGTCTAAAAATCTATCTCCTCCTACATTTTTTGAGGAATCACCCTCAAACTTTCAGTATTATATGTTCTAAGGATCATTTAGAAGAGATTGTCCAGGCAAAATTTTGAGATATGCCTATATTAAACATTTTTTATTCGATTTTAAAAATCTTGGACCTGGTTTTTTGACGATTTTTCGAGGTCCAAGATTTTTAAAATTGAATAAAAAATGTTTAAAGGCCTATCTCAAAATTTTGCCTTGACAATCTCCTCTAAATGATCCTTAGAACATATTATTCTGAAAGTTTAAGGTTGATTGCTCAAAAAATGTAAGAGAAGATAGATTTTAATACTCGATTTTCAGAGCACGGGATCAAAAATCGCTTGCGCAATACAATTACACACAAGCGCTGACTTTTTACCGGCGATTATTTCGGCTAGTAACAATATTTTTCTCTCGGATTAAAAGCATCTGATAATTATCACTCCCCTCTATCAGAAACAACTAAAAAGTCGATTTTGAGAAAATTTCCATGAAGACCCCCCTGCCCCCTTAAGATGTAAGGAGTAAGGGAAGGCCAAAAGGATTTATAGTGTTAATTCCCAAAGGTTTCAAAGTCTTGATTAGTTGAATATATTTATGTTCACGGACTTCCAAAGTTTTAGGACTAGAATTATCAATAAATGACACATTAAAAATTTTGTTAAAATCTTCCCTTTGTCTAAAACCATGATCTAACAAATGTAAGCCCAAACTATATATTGCTTTAAATGGGTAAAATTTTGAACCTTGACATTAGAAATGAAACAAAATATGTAATAATATATGTTTTTTAGCAATTAAAAAAAATAGTATAAACTTTGAAAATTCCCAGTTTGTACGCTCAAAAAAGCTTCCTCCGCATAGCTCATGCAGTGTCAAGTTCAGTTTCTGCAGGGAATGTTTCGATACACGCCCAAATTCTCGTTATTATAGCTTCTGTATCCTCAGCCAACCAGTTTTTTTCAATACACATGTATAGCGAGGACCCCGAAAACGTCCTTTATTTATATTATAGGACACATGATTTTGAGTCTCCGTCCTTAATGCCCATCATTTGTAACGATAATTTCACAGCATTTTAGCCCCCAAAACCGAGTGTTGCTCCAAATTGAGACTGCTGCAAACCCCTCTATACACTGAAGTGTAATACCTTTAAGGCTACTTCGAGCGTAACATCTACCCAATCCCAACTGCGGACAGGTGGTCATCCCTCCGCAATACTTTGATACTTGTCTCCCCGGAATTCCCGGTATTCCTGGAACCCCTGACTTCCCAGCTTCTCCCGGTGAACCTTGCTCTCCTTCGATTCCGGGCATTCCGGGAATTCCATTTCCTCCTGTATTTCCTTTTGCACCTGGCGTTCCAGCATCTCCAGCGGCTCCTTTAGCTCCATTCAGACCAATAGCTCCATCTTCTCCTGGCTCTCCTCTCAAACAATTATTACAGAAATCTTTTATCCCGGGATCTCCTCGTGGTCCAGGTTTTCCTTCTATACCGACTTCTCCTGGAGGTCCTTGTACACCAGATTTTCCTTTCTTACCGACTTTTTCGGAATTTCCTTGTGGATCTCCATGTAGATCAGACATTGCAGTTTGCTCTTCCTGTTTTTGTGGAGGCGGTGTTTCTTGGCCGATTTCTCGTAAAACTTCATTGTAAAACTCTATTGTATTATTACCTTCTATCCTGTAGCTGTATGTTTTGTTACCATATTTTTTGGTTTTTAGGTAAGTGATTAGATCTGTTTTCTGCAAGCAATTTCCGCTTGATTCGTCCAAAAATGTTGCAGGTGGACAACGTTGTGGCATTCTAATAGCGAGCCATTTAAAATGTTCTGCTGGAATCTTTTTTCCGCCCAAAACCAAATCACTTGCTGTGTATAACTCCTTTCGATAGGGGTACGGTTGACCAATTGAGATGTTGTCAACTGACACCGCAAATGCGTCTTCCAAACACCGGATCGTAATTTGAAATCTTTTACCATTGGTAATTGTCTGCGGAAAGACTCCCCGAATACTATGAGATCTTACCTCTTGCCATGTTTTTTTCTTGGACTTGGAATTCATCATCACTATTTCCTCCTTTGGCTTAAACAAGAGATAAAATAACGTTCGGTCTCCGTCATTGATGTATATCTTTAAATTATATTTCCTCATATTCTTAACGAACATTCCATAGATTTCTATTTTATCTCCGGGAGTAAGCACCTCTTCGAAGGAATATCTCTTTTTGAGTTTGTTTATTACAATCAATCCTGAAAAGATGTTTTGTCAGTTTTTATATTAATTTATATGTTTAATTTAAATATTTTATATTTGTTTATATATGTTATGGCGCTAAAACATATTTTTAATTAGGTTTTCACTCATATGAAGGCGGTGAAGCCTATAATAGCACACGTTAACGAAAAAAGTGAGTAAGTCACGCAAATAATACCTTCGTTTTGCCCATTAAAATCCGAACTTCCGGCATCAGATGTGTTGGCTGATAGTGATCCTAGTGTCACGTTGCTGTCCTTATCAGATCTTCTCAATTCACCGTTTGTGGTAGTAATCCCGCCTAACATAACACCCATTACGCTGATGAAAACCCCCAGTTTCATTGTAACCTTTGGTATACGACTATTCTGAATTATCGATTAGAATAATGATATTCAAGTGCTAGTGTTTAATTGACAAGTTCAATGAATCGGGGCCATATTCATAAAGCATTGTGTAGATAAGGAGAAACAAAGGCAAAAATAATATTACCAAAATCAACCATGCCTCAGATTATGAAATTATCACAATTACCCCCATATGTTTGCCAAGCCATTATCTTCAGAAACCCTATATCATATAACATTCACTGCTAAAATCTCGGTAGTAAAATGCTGAATATACCCGGTGCCCGATTTACCAGGTTGCCGATAACTTTAAGCAATGTTCTAGCTATGTTCTAGCACCCTCATTCTCTTATCAAACTTTCCCCCTATTATTAGAGTGAAAGTAAGTGATCGAATTTGATGTTGTTGTAATAGGCGAACTGAAATTTCTCTATCTTAATTTATACGAAGTGAGTCATGCTGATAACGCGAACGTGGTGATAGACTAATTGCATTTACTTTTTGGGTCTAATGATGCCAATTTTGGAAGTGAATGAAGTTTGTTCACAAAATTGTAGAACAATGACTGCTATGTTTTAAAAGTCAATAATGTTGCAGCATACCCCCAAATATTCCCCTTAACTACTCTCCGTAATAAATATTAATGTATTTGAAAACATACCACTAACTTTTAAAGAAAGTAGTTTTTAATACCACTCTACAACATTTACACAACTTAATTCCTGTTTTACACTGTCGCAACATATAATGTAACCCGCTGTACACTTAACATAGTGGTTGATTGAATGTATTAGATCGACAGCGTATATAGCAGTATTATATCAACAGTATTATATCAGTTACCGTGTCCTAGCGATCCAAATGTAATGTGATATTTCAAGTAATTGACTCTTTGTAGCTGCTCCATTAGTTCAGCATTCTAAACAGTAAAGACTGATAAAGATGGTGTCAATAGTTTCTGGTAATATAATAAAACCCCGGCTCTCATAATGATTAATATAGAAGCACTGGGGTTAGGGGTTCCAGGGTCTCACTGGGTCTATTGGGGTACAAATAAGGCCTTAAAGTTCGGTGACCACTTAGACGGCTCCTGGGGCGGTATCGAGTCGATGTTTTTTAAAGGCAAGGTGCAGCACGGTTACTGAAGGGTTTCATCTCATCATCTGTCACGAGTAATTTATTTTTCACGTATTTTATGGATTTTTTAACCTGTCGCACGGCCTGGGCTTCTTACTTTCTAAAACTTGTGGCATCATCATATCACATGTTGCGAGATGACCGCGTAAACGAAAATAGTGGGCGTGAAACAATTAATGATCAGTACGACTCAGTTACCAGTACTTACAGCCTGTTACCAGTTACCAGTTACCAGTACTTACAGCCTGTTACCAGTTATATATATTACCAGTATAAGTATGAGTACTTCCAGCCATCAAAATGTATCGAAACAAGAATGGGGTAGTTATAATTTTTATGCAAAAAGTGGTTTCTTGCACAAACAAAATTTCCACCAAATGTTAGTGTGACCTCCTCGCACGCAGGGCTATACTGAGTGACTCTGTACATAGTTACCACCTAGTTACCACCTAGTTACCACCTAGTTACCACCTCGCACGCAGGGCTATTCTGAGTGACTCTCTATCTCTCTCCTCCTCTCCTAGAAGTATACCCGAGCCTTTCCTGACTATGGAGAAAAACGCTAAAATCGTTACGTACGTTAGCATCCAGCGCTTTATGTTAGAATAATGATATTTTAAGCCTGGACAATATGATTTACTTGTACAATCGACAGAGAACTGATTTTAAGATTGATCAATAGTTACACTAAATAGCTAAATGTTTTCAATAAAATCTTACCAATTTTAGATTTAAAATGCTCCAAATATTGATCCTTCTTAGTCCTGATAGGGAAGAAACCTTGGCCTTTACACATCTTGATTCCACTGGCATCCTCCCACAGGACTGCCATATCCCAGAGGTAGGCAAAGCATTCATATGCTATCCTCTCGTGGGCCAACCAGGCCCAGCCTCTCTTAAAATAAAAATAAAAAAACCTTGGCCTTGATGACGATAAGCCGCTCGAAATAGCCTTTCCTCCATATATTTGACATTAGTTAGGGAAACGATCCTAACATGTTATGACTCGTAATTTAACAACTTCCAACAAATCTTTCTGGTTTTGTTTAAAAGCGCAATATTAATTTGGACAGCTTCGAGTAAAAATAACAACATATTAATCAAAAATTATAATTTAATTCCTATTTTGTCTCAGAGAAGTTTAAATTTCGTGTTTTACAATGAAACGATCCCTCATTTACACTTCATTAAACAGCATGCACAATATTTGTGTCTCACCGCTTGACAACTAATCTTAATCGTAAATGACTAAACGTACTAAGGTGTAAAACCTTTTTTAGTTTTCTGATAAACACAGTGTCGAAAATAATGCAATTTAAAAGATTATGCATTTTCATTTTGACATAATATGATTGAAGCTGATCAATCCTGATTTGATATTTTTTAATCAGGTCGAATGACAACAGCTTCAGATTATATATTTTATTGAATTTTTGATGGTATCTGCTTCATAATTAGCAACTTAAATTACGGTTAAAAAATGTTCTATTCCGATTTCATATTCAGGGAAGAAGCTGAGAAACTAGAAAAACACGAGTTAGCTGTGGAATTCATCTTCTGTTTAGCCCTCATTGCAGTTTTACCTCAGGTAAGAGGAAACGAGTTTATTTTAATTTGATTGAATTAGTTCGTAACTAATTAGTTACATTACGTATTAGCTATTTTAGATTTAATAATAAGGTAACTGAAACTCTAGAGAACATGGTTGTACAATGTCTATAGCGATATAATATAATATATTATCACACTCCAAGCAGTGATGTAACTGCTTAATATAACACAATTAATGGAGTAAAATATTCAATAAATAGCGGAAACTGACGTTATACGTTATTTCAGTTAAGTGTACATCCTGTCTCAGACGAACAAGTCCGGGAAATAGAAAACCTATGTTTTAAAAACTTCAAGAGAAAAGAGTAAGTTAAAAGTTGGCTTCACGCCAAAAAGTTGGCTTCACGCCAAAATCATCCATCGTGTCGTGTTTGCATTTTATGACGTTATTTATTTGATATGCAGTTGATATATTGCGTGTGCATCACACATACATCTGTTTTGATGATTTTAATCGTTATGTATAATACAGTGACACATTGATTGTCGGATCAGCTTAACTCCAAACATGAACAAATTTTACGAAAATTTAAAGGCCTACATCTTATTTACACGCCAGTTATAATACGCTAAGAACAATTACCAACAATTTAAACGGGCCTGACCTAACTTCTGTACATCCCAGTTAAGCTGATCCAAATTTAAGTGTCTCACCGTATAAATCTTGATTATACATTTGAAAATAAACATGTGGGATATTAGTGTGCAAGTGATGTAGTTGATTTTCCCCGCAAGTGGCGGCACAATTGTTCGGTCCCGTGCGGACTTCAGCCGGAGTACCATTCGGCGTTTAAACCCGCTCTCCCAATCCGTCAACAACCCCCGAGAAGAAATTCCAGACGTTGAGGAAGCTGGAAATTCAGAGGATGTTTTGCTATGGTAAAGCTCCGCAGCTCTTTACCGCTCCAAATATACATATTCCTGGATCAAAACTGCTTTCCTTTAGCTGAATAATTTGTGGAATTCGTCGTTTTTTAAAGGCTGTTTGGGATGCTGAAGCAATCATGGGAAAAGTTCCTAGTAAACCGCTGGTCCAAATAAATTAACGAATCGTACACTCGTTTGTAATGTGACTCATGCCCGAATAACGCTGCATGTAAATAAATCGTTACACGGAAATCTCAACCTCGCTGTTGACTGATGTTCACGTTGCATGTTCACTGCTGGGGGATTCATCAGAACGCCTTTTTTTGCTGCTATTTTGGTGTGTGCCACCTTGGCGCGCAGCCATGGTTTATTTTGATGTTACTTTATGTAACGCGCGACGACCAAGTTTTATACAAAAGGTTACCGCGCTGAAGCAAGAAGAAATTATATTAATAATATAAATGTAAATTAACGTTAAATTAGTCGATATACCCACTAATTTAAGGTTTGCAGTAAGTTATACAATAACATTATATAATCCATGTGATCAATCTCAGCTACTCGTAATCTGCTATTCGTAATCTCGTGATCTACTACTCAAACTGTATACTATATTATCATGATTATGTTCTGACCACTAAAACTAATGGAAAACATCACGTAGCTTAAACCTTCAGATTGCTCAGATGAGCCTTGGCCCTTGTTAACTCCTTTCTTTAACAGTTTCAGTCAACATAATTCAAGAAATGGGAAAGACCTCACGGATCTTTATGCTGAAGTTTTGGGAGTACTTTCTGAGGCTAGGTACGAATTTTTGCATTAAGTTCACTTTCTATTCTTGGCTATCATGGAAGTCATATGTCGGAATTTCGTGCTTGTATCTGGCCGAATTTGCGCTCAATACTAACACTTTTAAAATATTATGGCCCTTGTAAGAGAATTTGTAACCACTTTGACGCCATTAGAACCCAAACTTAAATTACCTTGATTTTGTCTTGATCTGTATTTTGTGATACACCACTATTTCAGATTTCAGTCCGTTATAAGAAAGTTCAAAAGGGAAATCAACCAGACATACTACACCACACAGACGATCATTAACTTTATAAATGGAATGAGATTTATCAAGTTGAAATTATACCCCATAGAAGCACTGCAGGCTTCATTCGAATTTATGCAGGTAAAGAGGATCGCCCTTTAGCTTTGTAGAAGATCTGATTTTTTGAACAACGGTGCTTTGAATCGAAGGCCTTTATGTTAGCGATTATTATAAAAACATCGCATATTGTTCCAGGAGCTCGGAGAATTCTTCCTGGACGCCAAAGAAAAAGAAACACGTCACTCATACGCAGGCCTAATAACCGCACTGCTAGTTCCTGTGGCTGCAGTGATAAATAGAGAGGTCAATGTTCCTGTTTGTAGGAACTTCGTGGACAAGTTGCATCAGCCTTCCCTTCAGCTGTCATCCAGGAAAACCCATGCTGCAGTGAGTTTAATTAAGTGCTTTGGGAATTTATTTTAGATTGTTATGTATCGGTAATTTTATTTTTATTTCTTAGTTACATTGTCTGCAAGAATACCATTGCGTACGGTAATGATTAAATTTCGCACTAAAAAATGATTACAATTATGTAGGAGCAACGTACCGATGCCATTATGTAGCTGTAGGTCCTATTAATTTTAATTTAATAATTTCAGCACCTATATGACATGATAACGATTCTACTGAGTGTATCATCAAAACAGTTCTTCCTTACCAACTGGCCTATATTTCTCCAAATGTGCATTAGCGGACTGAAGGTATCTTTAAATTCAAATCACTGAAATTGATTGTTTTCAAGCTTGTAAGTAATGTTATTGTTGATAATTTTAAAATATATCGTTTTTTTAAACGATAAAACTCGTCACACTATTTGTCTCCAACAGACGAGAGATTTATCAAAAGTGTCGTTCAACTGTATTTACCGACTGGTATGGGTATACGTAGTCAGAATAAAGTGTGAAGCCAACACCACCACCAACCAGCGGCTCACACAGATCATCGAGGCTATCTTCCCAAAAGGTATTTTAAACATAACATACCAGTTTTCCTTAATATATAATGCGAACGATGGATTGGAGCATAATAATGCCTTAATTCTTACCTGTTTCAACCAAAAAAATGAGCGATTATTCCTGAACTCCGCTAGAACGTTTCCCCCCAGGATCCAGAAACATCATCCCCCGCGAGGGGGTGCAAGCAAGGGACTTTATCCAGCTCATCCTGATAATATCACTTGAGAAGCTGGACTATGTGATGAGGGAGGTGGTGTACGATCTGCTTTGTGTAACAACCGGAAAATGATCACGTCTATATACCCTGAACGTAAGGATAGATTCCTTTATTAGTACCTCGTTATCTGGATATTTGAAAAGGGTTGAAACTGAAGAGTTCATGACTCATTTTAATTAACTACATGGATTATATAATGTTATTGCATAACTTACTGCAAACCTAAATTAGTGGGTATATCGACTACATTAATTAATTTGTAACTTAACTACTCTGCCATCTCCCAGGTATGAACATTGGGCTAAACGCGTTCCTGGCGATTGCAAACCATCTGGAGAAGAAAGAGGGTAACCCACCTATGCCCGGGAGTAACTTCTCTTATCCTTCCGGTGAGTCCTGCACTGTACTGTACTGTACTGTACTGTACTGTACTGTACTGTACTGTACTGTACTGTACTGTACTGTACTGTACTGTACTGTACTGTACTGTACTGTACTGTACTGTCTGAGCATTCTTGCTTTCATTTTTGGTTTCGTTTTCCGCTGAAAAGCATGCTACAATTATATACTTATTTTACTCTAAGGTATTTAAATAATACAATTTTACAACAAATGAACAAAATGTTTATTTATAACAAAATGTTTATTTATAGCAAAATGTTTATTATAATAAAATGTTTATTATAATAATACATTTTTATAATAAAATGTTTATTAATGATTGCTACTTCTCTCTTAGAAACCTACAAAAAGAAAATAGTTGTCGGAGGTCCGTATATATATAATATATGAAGATTTTATCATAACCACGATTGGTTAAACAAAAATTGTATCAGTATCGTACTCTCTTAGTAATTAGTATGAACTATGAAGTTTGTGATTTTATACGTGAAGTTTATGATTTTGAACGTATTTAGAATGTATTTTGAGGATGCCAACTTTAATTTTTAATTCGCTTTCCCATTATCATTTTACGATTATCCGATCAGAACTTGCCGAATTGTACTCCAGAATTCCCTCCAGATGCTGAAGGGAAATTTTATAGCTGTTTTAATGTTTTATTTATAAGAAATTTGATTGTTATTTCTTTATTATTTCACTATGCTATTTGTATGACACCCTCGTTCAATGATACATTTTAGCACATGTGACATGCGGAGCTCAACTATAATCATACACCTAATGTTCCCACTAAAAAAGAGCACTATAAAATAATCCCCTTGGCAATCGTTTCCCACTTCCCTAAAAACCTTTAAATTTAAATATAATATTTACCCCCTAAAGAAACCCGTACAAAAGAAATAAAAGGGTGGGGGCAACCGTGGAAGCAAAACAAACCTTATAAAACAGAAATGAAGAAATCGCTTTGAATCCCCTTGGGAAGTGGGGGGGGGGAAGTGTACCTGAATTGGAGGTTGGGGCCGGGAAAGTCGTTTGGAAGCCGCAATGTTTACAACAATTCTTCAGATAGCACTGGGGCACATTTTTACAAAACCCAAACACCCTTCCTACGCCTAAACCAAATAAACAGTGTGGGGGCATGAAATCCTGGAGCAAGGTTTTGTGTTTTTCGTGAAATTCTTTGTGGTCCCGTTTGTTGATAATGTTTTTGTCTACGGAAGCCACTGGGAGTGAATTTTTAATAAACCGAAAGTTGGTGTTTCCCTCCTTCCCATCATTTTCTCTAATATTTCCCCTCCTAATATTTACTCTTTAATTATTTTCCTAATATTCCAATCAATAATTCCCCTTTTAATGGGTTATCACCTAATCAGGTGGAATCGAAAAGTTTAAAAGTGCAGCTTTCCCCCTAAAGAAACTGTTGTTTTTTTTGGGGGAGCCAATACCGAACGACATTTATTTCCTGAAAGGGTAATCCTTGCTTTTTTCCAAATTTTTTAAGGTTCTAAGTTCTCACCCCCACGTTTGTGGAAAGTAAGAGAGTTTTTATCGAGTGGCACTAAACAAAGTAAAAAAAGTGCTTGCCCTTCAAAAGTTTTAAAATAAAAATTATCCTAAATTTCGAAAACCAGGTGTATTGCAAGAAAACAAAACCTTAGTGGTAACCTGAATTTCAAAGCTTTAACCATCCAACATGGACAAAGATCGTGTTCCACCCCCTTTCCCAACCGCCTTGTTTTTGAGACCTCTGGAATAACATGGGGATCTCCCCGTGGGAACTCCCTCCGCTTGGAGAAAAACTTTTAAAAACGTTGTTTTGGAAGGGTTTAAGTAATCGTATCATTAATGTAACATATTTTTAAATCGGTGATAATCCACAAGTAAAAGTAATTATGTTTTTTAAAAAACAGTGTTTTTGTAGAAGTTTTTGCCAAACGGATTTTCCCCTATTTGTGTTTTTGAACGGGATTGTCACCCCGTTCCACCCCACCACCCCCGTCCACACCCACCCCCCCTTGGAGGGAGGTGGAAAAAACCCTGTTTGATGGGTTAAAACTTAAAACCAATAGTAAAAAACATTAACAAAACGATTTTAAAAATGTCCCGAAGCAATCCTGGGTGAGGTAAAATGTGTTTGTTTCAGGGTTATTTTTAGATGAGAACGTTCTGCCAAAGAAATTATTACCAAAAAACAACCAATTCCCCCCCAACGTTTTTTTATTTATGACCCGAGGTCCAGTTTTGTAAAATTTAATTTTTCTGTTTTTCAATTAACCGATGTAAAAAAATAACTCCGATGATTTTTGTAAAAATGAAATACTCACAATAACTTTTGTCCTTGTCTACGATAACATGGAAGGAATTTAAAAAATTGAAACGTTACCTGGATTGGTTGGGATAACCAACCCCCATCCCCCTAGAGCATAAAACTGGGTCAAATCCTGGCATTAGTTTTTTATTTACAATCTTGGAAGGGGAACCCGACCTTCCAAACAGGACGGGTGGAACTACGGAAAGGAAGGTTTTTGGTTTCCAAGATGTTTAAAAGTTTCCCCGTTATTTGTTTTTTTTCCGAAAACCACTCAAATAATTACATATTTGCCGGGTGTACATTTAGACCCATCATCTTGTCAAACTTTCCACTTTATTACATTTGGTCCCCCGTAAAAATTTTATTTCGAAAAAATGGTAGATTTTTTTTATCCCTCTTATTGTCCCACCCCCATATAATGTTCCTTCCTAATCCATTAAGTTTGTTTATGTTCCCCCATCATCAGTTTTGTCCATCACATCATTAAAAAGATTCTTGTTTTTTTTTGGGGTTTAAAAACAATCCTCCCCCTATTTTTTTTCTCCCTAGATCTCCCTTGTTTTCCAAATTTTACACATATCATTGAAACAACAACTTGTCAAAGCGATTAGACCATAATTAAATAGAACAATGAATTAAGAAGGTGTAAGTTAGAAAATAGTGATTTGGCTTTTGTTTAAAATTCCCTGAAAAAACCCCTTTGAACTACCTCCCAAACTTAAGAATTGAATTATCTTAAAATGTTGCCCTATTGGTTTGAAACGTTAGAATTTTGGGTTTGTCTTTTGCATAAAAAATGGGTTTCCCCTCCTCCTCGGAAAACTAAACGTTTTTGGACTGTGGTTTTAGGTGTTTTTTTTTTAATGGGAATGGTTACTAGATGACTTTACCCGGTGTAATTGGTTTTTTATTTTATATTGAATGTCCTTTTGGTCGGTAATTGACATGGTTGTGTGGAAAGTGAAAATTTGTTAGGTAGATAATTTTTTTACTATAACAAAACATTTGAAAAGCAAGGAAATCTTATGTTTTTGGTACTAAAACCAATTTGGAAGGTATTGGTAAATGCCCCACTGGTGATTTGTTGAAAATTATATTTAAAAATATTGTAAACAAAAATTAGCGATTAGTTAAATGTTTAAACCTTCCCAACCGTTTTTTGGGTTTTGTGCCCATTTTGTTAACCTTCCGAACCACGCCCCAGAAAAATTATTTTTAGTTTTTAAGAACATTTTTTTTTGCCCTTAAAAAAGAGAGACTCCCACCTAGTACCCAATTATTACGGTCTTGCCTGAATATATTTTTGGCCAAAGGTAAATAATTTTTGTAATGGAAAATAAATCGAAATAATGAGCCCATTGTATTAATCCCTTATCCGGTGAATCATCAAAAGCTATTATCCCCCCCCCACCAGAGAAAAAAATACCAATATAACAAAATGCCAACTTACCTAAATTAAAATTGGGTTAACATTTAAATCGCCTGTAAGTGAAAATAAATCCATCCAAAACCCCTCCATGCCCTCCTCCAGGGAAAACAAGGACCCCTCAGTTCCCCAAAATAAAACGGAACCGAGAAAAAAGTTTTCCCTACCAAGAAAAAACCGATCACCTCCCCTCCATCCCAAAGTAGAAATAGGGGAAATGGCGGGCCCATTGTTCCATGCCCCTGTGGTTTTCCCTGTTTTTCCCTAACCCGCCACCAAGAAAACTATCGACTTAAAACATCTCCCGTCTTGGGGTAAGGTGTTCACGTGATCCCCCTGGAAAATTGTGTCACGGTTGGAACTGTAGGTAAAATTGTGGCGATTGTTTTAAGATGGTGAATTTGTTACGTTTTTGTAGAACACGAATTTGAATAATGTTCAAAACAATTTTGTTACCTTTAAAATTGGTTTTGGCTTCGATTGATTTGTTGTTGGTTTGGTTGTTGTTTTTATGTTTGGTTTGTTGTTGGGGGTTCAACTCACCCCAACACCAAATCAAAAACTTTTCAGGGAAAGCAACCAGCCAAACTTTTTACCAACGTGATGGTTGAAAAACACTTTTTCCGAAACAAAGAGGAAAAAAACTTACATTTTTTATGAGGAATTGCCCCAGTGTGGGGAACCAAGGATAGAAAGAGATTATAGTGAGGTGGTCCCCCCCCATCAGAATGGCCTGCCAAATAGGTTAGAAACCCCGATAAATAAAATAAATAAATTCTAACAATTAATTTACAAAACGCTTTCGACATTCCACAATATAAACCGAAAAGATGTTTAACATTAAGTCCATAAAGCGAAACTTAGACACATATCTTTCAGTAAGGCCCCTCCCAGGGGCCCCAATTAATGGGGGTGGAATCCATGTTTTTTTGTCTGTAAAATTTTTGCGGCCAAGAGTAAATAACTTTACCAATTAAGCTCCCCATACAACTGAAACCGTCAAAACCCAAAAAAACATTCAAACCGCAACGTGGTCAAAACAAATAAATGGTTTCAACCTACTTTTAAAAACAATAATAAACTATCAAAAAAAGTGTATTTTGTTTTGTTTTTTTGCAACCACGACTTCAAAAAACCTAATCCAAAAAGGATGGCGACAACCAATCTAAACCAGAAAAATATTTAGGTTGGGTAGGGTTGGTTCCAACTATTACAAAGCATCATAAAAAAACCTTAACGA